TTTTGATCGGTCAGTTTAAATGGCAGCTATATACTATAGTTATCCCATCTGATCTTTTTGGAATTTTTATCGTTGCCTTTAACAATAGTCAATGCCAAATTCCGTGAAGTTGTCAAATACCATACAAGTTCCTGATTTGGATTGGTCACTTTGTATGGGAGCTATATCCTATAGTGGTCCGATACGGGTGATTCCGACAAATGAGCAGCTTCTTGTGAAGAAAAGGAGAAGTGTAAAATTTCATATCGATATCTAAAAAACTGTCTGCGAAATTTCCTTCTGGGTATTACGTGGCAAATTTAATATACCCTGTTCAGGGTATAAAAAATAAAATAAAATAATATAAAAGCATACAGCATACAGACATTACATTTAATATCTGATGTATATAAATTTGTATCTGTTTTCGTTTCTTTACAGTATTTCTTCAACGAAAGCACAATTTCATTTCACAGACGTCGGCAGTTTATTCACACCGATATATGTATGCACAACATACCATAGCAGCTGGACGACGGTGAACGCGTCGAATGCCGAAGATCAGATCACTGCAAAGCAGTGATTCCACAACAATTACAATAACAACAACAACAATGACTTCAGTAATTACTACAACAAAAACAATAGTATTAACGTAAGCTACAGCCAGTAACGCAGATCGACGCACATTGCAAGATATTCACTGAGAAGCAGACAGTATTGCAAAAACAAAAAAGATAGAGAAAAGCCAACCAGCGAAACCAAATTGGATAAAAAAACAAGAGGGAAAAATAGAACAAAATGAGAAAACAACTACAACGAATAAGTGAAAAAGAAATTATACTATGTACGTACAAGTATGTAAGTAATTGACAAAGCTAAAACGAAGTTGCCTCTATAAAGAAAAAATCGCGGCGCACATTATTAGCGTATAATAGCTATAGCTATAGTCGTGGCAACGCAGCAGGAAGCGCAGATATGTGGTGGGGAGATTGAAAATTGCAAGCAAGAATTATTATATTCAGTTTGAGTAACGATTTCACGAATGTAAAGTATATATGTATATGTATATATGCTTCTTGGATTGGAAAACTTATGGATGAATGGTCATTTGGTTGGTTGGATACACAGTATGTGGGGTGATGAAAAAATAGTTGGTTGAATAGTTGGAAAAATGAGTGAGCGTGATTCCGTATTGTTGTTGCTCTGATACTGCTGCTGCTCGACTAGGTGTGTTCATAAATCTGTGCTTACTCAAATGTATGTATGTATGTATAGAATGTAATTTTCTCTGTTATTTTAAGAATATATCAATACGAAACTAGCATGTTTATTTAAGCCTGGCATTAGTATGGCGTCTTTGAATTTAGCATAAGCAAGTCCAAAATAAACATTAGAAGATATAAGTACACAGAAATTATATTATAAATAACAATGACAATGTTAGATCTAATCGTATGTTGATGCGTGCTATTCAAAGCATATAATATATCGACAAACACATTTAGTTAGTTCACGACTGGGAAGTGGGAGTAAAACGATATATTTCGCATATATCTATGGTATGTACATACATACATATGTATGTATACATACTAATATACATAAATACTACATGGACGGAAAAACCTCTCTACAAATAAAAATAATTCTAACCCTGTTTGGAGTACTAAGCTTAACTACAATGGAATACGGTCAAAGTTTCATGACATTTCATCCAAATGTTTTAAAGTTATTGTCTGAAAGTAGTGCTGCCATTGCAATTTTTGTTTACACGTTTACAATCGCATAAGGAGAATATTTTGACAAAACATTATTTCCAGATGGAAAACTAAACCGTTGAATAATGGGCCCCGTTTTGCCTTAAAATATCGCAAAAATTGGTGAAATCTATTGGGTGACCGTGAAATGAAATTGAATGAGTTAGTTAACATCATCGACCTCTCAAAAGAACGCATAGGTCACTAATTCACTAGTTTTACAATATAGTGATCTGATCTGAACCATTTCTTCGGAGATTATTGTACATTGTTGCCTCGTCAAATGAAAAAACTTTTCATGCAAGTACTTCATTCCGATCGTTCAGCAGCTATATGCTATAGTGACCAAAACTGAACAATTTATCAGGTGCTTCCATTTCTGCAAGTTTCGCATACAAGCACTTGATTCCGATTGTTTCGGATCGATAGCTTAAAAATTAAGCGACTAGTTCTTATATATACAGACAAATGGATATGGCTAAATTTAGCTGACCATTCGTCCCGGTTTAACCGGTATCAAAACCGTCACCTAAGGCTCATTTATGTATAATAATAATATTATATAAAAAATCTTATTTTAAGGACTATTTTGACGATTTACTTTTCATTATGCCTTCAAGTATATAAATTTCCGGTTCCGTGTTTGTATTTTTGGAGCATTTAATATTTTAAAATCATTTGACATTGTACTGAGGTTTATGTAACTGCACGAACTCTGAAAGTAGGCGTCATATTTTTGACAAAACTTTTTCGTATGGTACCATCTCATCCTTTGACCAGGTCCACAAGGCAAATAAACCAAACAATTGTGTATATTTCTTAGACTTAAACAAATACCTTGCTGACGCCTTCCACTAGATAAACTTTTGAACTACAAACTGAACATTTGAGTTCTTCGCTGTTTTTACTTTAATGTACTTCATATTAGTCTTCACACATAAATATGTACATATGTATAGTTTGTTGTTCATTTGTACGCATTTTCTAAACATTTAACCTTCTGGCTTTATAGATTGTGTAAACAAACATTAAAAAAGAAAAAAACAGGAATTCCACTTCAGATACCTAAATTTCAACACACATACGAGTATGCCTTTGCATGCTTCCATACACACATGATATATTTGTATATAGAGAGAAGACGCCTGATTGTCTTCGTAATGCACTTTGAAGGGACATAAAAAATCAGGTCGCTTTTATTTTCGATTTTTTTATACTTGGCAAGGTTCGCCAACTGTACACGTTTTTCGAAATCAAATGAAAAAATAATGATGAAGCATTTCAATTGCTGTTTTGGTGTGAAAGCGATGAAAAGTAGCACATATACATACATACATTCATTGATTAATATAAAACATGTGAAGAAGATATGTAAACATTGCATACAGGAATACATACATACATATGTATATGCTAGGCTTATCAGGTTGTGATATTCAGTTCGCTGTTGTTGGTGTCGAAAAATCATAAAATAGATTTAGTTGGGATTTACCGGGTATTTGTGTCAAGTGCCAATTAGTATACAGGCAACAACAATGCTTATTCAATATGCAACGTATTTGCTTGTTTGTTGCTGTGTGTGAACATACCTTATTTTGGCAGTGACGCAAATATTTTACGTTTGGTATTACCCTTAATAATAATATTACATACTTTTGCACTTAAATACATACATTCATACATATTATATATATATTTAAAAGGATACTCTTTCAAGTTATACTTGTAGTAGGGTTCTTTTGCAAACTCTTTGATTAAGTTTAGTTTTAATGCACTTTTTTTTGACGAGTTGAATGAAATTTAGTTTTTATATCCTGAACAGGATATATTAAGTTTGGCACAAAATTTGTTACACCCAACACTTACGAATGGTTAGTTCGCCTTACGCAGAATACGAATTATACTCGCTAAGCCATATTTTGGTATCGACAATACTTTTATCATCAAAAGATGTGTTTCATTGAAACACGAAATTATGCTTTGTCCAGTTTTTTTGTTTCAAATTACAACTTGAACTAATAGGGAGAGTTCTTGCACTTAATTTCGTATTCGGTCCACATAATCAATAATTTAAATTTGTAATCTTTATCAAGCTTTCAAATAATTATGAACTCTATAGACTTATGAAATAAAAACGTTCAGAAATTACTGAAAATTTTGAATATTTCCTTTCGGCCAGTCAATGAGTAAACCCACTACCTGTTTCACAGTGTCGTTTCCTTTTTCACTTTTGTTTGAGTTGGGATTATTTTAAGAGCTTGCAAAAAATATTTAATCAAAAGAAATTTAAGAAAAAATATTAGTTTAAAACACTAATCACATCAGCATACATTTTGCACAATACTGTACATTTACAAGTCGGAATATGTAGGTACCATATTAAAAGTGAAATTTTCCAGACAATACTTGCACGTATGAATGTACGCTTGTATTAATGTCAATGCAAATATGCTTACATACAGGTTTTTTTTTTAATAATAATTAAATATTTTTGATAAATATTAGCCACATAAATCCATATTTTTGTTTCACTATGATGTTTCGAAATATAAAATATAAAAATTATATAGTTTTGATACATACATATCTACATATACTTACATGCATTCATAATGCACACGTTGAAACGATTTTGGTATACTGTAGTATATTTTTTGTCACGATTATTTTACGTGTATTTTTGCTCGCCCTTTCGCTGGTATCTACCTATTTTGTTATTTAATTTTTAATGCTTTTTTGACGTCCTTATCAAAGTTATAAGACGCTTTAATTATACGCTGAATAGGGCATATTAAGTTTGCCACGAACTTTGTAACACCCAAGGAGTACACACTATCAAACGTAACTCCCAAAATTTTGCAGTTGTTCACTGTCGAGATTTTAATGTCATCAACAAAAATGTTGAAGTCTAGTCCGTATTCCTTCGTTCACTTGGTGATTAGTGCCGCTCTGGATTTAGCAAGGGAGAGTTTTAAGCTCCTTGCAGGGAACTCACTTAAATAACGGTTTTACCCAGCAGATACAAGAGTAATATTTTTATATCTGCTTTTATTTTCACAATACCTATAAACCGATATTTTTGGCAAAGCTAGCAATAAAATGTATTAATGTGTCTTATATTAATGTTAGCGACTGTATAATGTTTATGTAAATTAAATTCGTTTTAAAATAAGGTTAAGTTACATTTATATACATATATACATACATATGTATTATATTTTTAATAATTACTAATAATACTTCTTTACTTTTTTATTACAGCCTCTCAAAGTACTTACAAAATTTCATGAACAACAGTCGCCATGCTTTTCTTTTCCTGCCTGCAGAAGATTTAATTATATAAGTGTTTTCTTTGGTTTAACGAATTGCCATTGGTAAACTATTCTTACGCTATCGCTAATATTTTAATTCTCCTCACAATACAAATTATTTAACGCCTTAAGACTAGGATATTTTATTTATAAAGCTACGCTAATATACTTTATTCATGAAACTTCACTATATACAGCGAAATTTCGGTATGTCATGCGGTAAACCAACTAAACCACACTCACGTACCGAGTATATTAAGCAACAGCTCAGTTTGCACAATATAAATTTGTTTGCTTTATTTTACACATTTATTTGCATACACATACACACAAACAATACAAATGCATTTATATTATTTTAAGCCAAAATTCAGAGGTAAAAATTGTTTTTTTTTTATTTATTTTCGAATATTTACATCCACACATACATACATACATACGTTTATTATTGAATATTACTCACGCTGCTACGTTGCTGTTGACTTTGTGCGATGTGTGTATGTATCGCTGCTCCACTATATATGCCTGTAAGCTTTACCTTTGCTTGAGTATTTTGCAAAATTGTTAATTTAAATAAATAAGATATGAAGTGTATACATAAGCCTTAAATATTTGTATTGAGTTTATGCTCATATGCTCAATTTGCTTGCTCTAAACAATTTTTTTAAAGAAAATGCTGAATTTTGATCAGTTATCTACAAACATACATATGTACGTAAAGGCATGCTAAAAAATTAACAATTAGCGCAAAATTTTAATTACATACAAAATATTACAAGAAATGTAACTTTTATGACTGAATGCGCGCAGCTACTCTTATGAATTGTATAAACTTTTCACGTGTTTTTAAATTTGTTAACTATGTATTATTATTTTTTTAATTTTTATTTTATTTTATAAGAAATTGTACAACAATTAACATATTATAGTTAGTCATTTTGCATTAAATTATACTCGAATAAATGAGAACAACGAATATTGCTGCTATAAATTTACTTTAATTGTATGTGTAAGCAACTTTACATACAACTTTATGTATTTTATCTTTTAATGTATATGATATTATTGCGGCAAAACTGCAGTGTCATAATTGTAGTAACATAATTTTTTAATTACACTAGTATTCAAATTTGCACAAAGTATGCGAATTAGCGCATCAACGTCTCTCATACATTTTACTTAAGACAATAAACGTATTTTCGTAATATACAAGTATATATACATACTACACACTTAATACAAAAATTATACATACATATATATGTACATATTGCATATGTATGCGTGCACTTAAACAACTACACAGTTTATGGAAAAGAAAGTTAACATTTAATTAAAACAACTTACTGAACATGAAAATAAAATCGAAATTCTTAAAGAAAAGAGAGTCTAACTGAATATAACATAGATTATATATGTCTTACGAGTATTTACAAGGACTGTTTAAAAAATATTTCTGCCAAATCGAAAAAACGAAATTGTAGTTATTGTTTTGAAAATTAGTATAAGCCTTAGTTAAAAAGTAAGTTAAAAAGTTTTATTAAAAAGAAAACTAAAAGTAACAAGATTTTAATATTGCTATAAAAACAATGCACTATATACAAATATGCAAAATAAATTTTCTATACTACTATTTATTATACATTAAAAATGGTATACATATGTGTATACACGTTACATTTATTATACATATATAGATAGTTTATAAACACATACAACGATGAATAAATATATGTAACTAAATTTTACGATGTCAAAAATTTGAAAATTTTGCGTTTTATTTTACAGTGTGGAATGAACTGAGTGGTAATGTTTACAGCAATGTTGCGGCACAATGATGCTAAAACCACAATTACAATGTAAAGTTGCTTATTTTAATTTTATGTCTAAAAGTTAACACCAGTGTATCCGCCTACGCCTTGTTATAGATATGATATACATTAAGGTGGATCAAACTGCACATAGTGTACTCAATTTTATAAAAATCGGTTCAATAGCTTAATTCAATAGGTTAAAGTAGAAATAATTATATATTTTAAGTGTGTTAAAAAAAATTATATTAATTTTGCTGGAAATTGAAATAATGTTTCATAATAAAATTTTGCAATAATATTTTTGCTTTAAAATATTACAAAATAATCGCGAAATTCATTTTAAAAGTACTTACTTATATTTCTTTAAACATATTTAACGTATTTTTGGCTTGCTGAATATAGCTTTGCATTGTTATCATACACTTTTATCAGAGAACGTATATGATAGAGAAGGTTCAATTGCGGACCAGCGTGTGAATTGTCAAAACCTAACAAGATTTTAATAGTGGATTTCACCAGAGAACGTATATCATAGAGAAGGTTCAATTGCGGACCAGCGTGTGAATTGTCAAAACGTAACAAGATTTTAATAGAGGATTTCACCACTTTTGGCTCGGAAGGAGAAATTTTAACAGTGGAGAGTGAACAGAGCTGAGCATTGTATGAAAATTATGCTCAGAGACTTGCTTCGATATTACAGCTGCATGTTAGCCTTTTGGCTTATATTTTTATACGTTTATATGCAATCATATTTATTGATATGAATATCATTTTGCGAATTTTTATGAATGCATGCATAACTGATAAGATCTTTTAAATTATGAAATTTCGAAATAATATTTATAGTCAATTTGGGCATTTAATAATTTTATTTAGTTTTTACCTAATATACATTCATACTAAATAGTTTATATTATAATAATAGAGATTGAATTTATTACAATATATGTACATAAGTATGTATGTACATCTTTTATCATATTAATCTTATATAGTCATATGTATGTACGTAAGTATTTGAATGTACGCATTCAGAAAGTCAAATCATGAAATTTTAATATTTGTCTATTTCCTGAAATTTGAAACCTATTGTAATTGTATTATTAATTCAATATTTAATCCATATACATAAGTACATATACTCGTACATGTACATAGATACGCATGCGGTAATTTTATCAAAGCTAACAGTTTTATTATTCATTGATAGAGGTAAACAAATAGAGTTATCGTAGTAAATCCCAACTGATAACCATTTCGTCGATTTGAGCTACGTACATACATACATATGCATGTGCGCATACATGAGTAAGTATGTTCTTAACAAATCTTTTTTATTAATTATGTTTAAAAACAATAAAATCAAATAAAATTATTCTCAAAACTTAAAAAACCAGACTAGACGCAGATATTGTGTAAAAGTAATAATTAGTTCAACAGGTAAGGGTTAATAGGGTTGTATCGGCAAATAAAAATTATTTAAATTTGAAAACACCATTCCATCGTCAAAAATGTAAACTGTACAACTTTTATTTAAATTGTTAGTACTTTTATCATTATCACACACTACATATAGAATGTTTTAAAAACGTGTCTAAATGCGTATTATTTGTTCTTAAATTGACTAAATATTCATAACTCGGAATACATATGTATGTATGTATACAATAAATTATTAATGTATGTACATGTCTTTCGCCTTGATATAATAAAAACTAAAACGTATTTAAATAAGTCACGAAATATAAACAAATTGCATATTAGCTAAGTTAAAAATATTAATTAGCATTTCCTCTGGGCATAACTGCACGAAATATGTTACTCATACCAGATACGCTGGTTACGCCCCGCATGCCAGAGTTTTGGAAATATATTAGCAAATAACGCTCGCCATCTCGCATATTGATGTCATCTGAGAAGTCGAGTCGAATGTCTTCTTCGTCCTGCAACTGTTGACGACGCAAACGCTCACGATTGCGATGTTGGTGACGGCGTGAACGTTGTGGACCTGGTGTTTCAAAGAAGGGATCTACAGGTGCGTCGGGTGACGATGGTGGTGACTCCGCTTGGTTTACATATTCATAACCGATATATTCATTTAAACTTGCGAAGTCCTCACGATAAACACCGATCCAATCGTGATTGCGTTCCTCGAAGTCATTCGGTTTTACATATTCCACTGTATTTTCTTCACCAATTTTCCACTCGGCGACTTCTTTAAAGTTGACACAAGGTGCTCGGTAGTTCGGATAAAGTTTAACGCTAAATTCGCTGCTCACTGGCTTATGGTCACTAATGTTATATGCTGGAAATGATTTGTATGATCTTTGTTCGATTGCTAATCTCTCGTCTGGACGTTTGTTGAGCGGTTGTAGAGCATATAATATACGATCGGTCCATGCAGGGCGGCGTTTTAAATCATAATTCGAAGTTCCTTCATGAAATTTAAATGTTGGTGGAAAAGCCGGTAAACGTTCATGCATTAAGTGAAATGCTTTTTGCAATTTCGTGCGCACGTGCAACAATTGGTCGCGTTCAATAAGTTCAGACAGTTTCTCATTTTTAATGGCAGCTAGAACTTCAGCAGGACTATCGTCGCCCATCAAACGAAAATTTAAATCGCCGAACCAAAAAACATAATCGTGATCATAGATTTCACGGTAGTGTGGTACGTGGTAGTGATGGTTTTCCATAATTTGTTCATAGTCCTCGATGCGCTCATCCAAATGTTTATCATGCGCAGCCAAATGAGCGACCACAAACGTAATTGCGCAACCATACAAAGAGAATCGAATACTCACTGCACCTTTATTGCCCCACATTCCTCCAAAACCGGTACGGGTGAATTCCGGTTCTATGTCACGCATATGTTTCACATGAACACGACGTACAAACAGAGAAAGTAATAACCCTTGCATTTGTTCTGATTTAATTACCACATAGTCGTAGTCACGAAGTAATTTCTTTATTTTGTGTGTCCAAGGATCTTCCTTAAATAGACCCAGCATCTGTTGTTGTGGTTGAACGTTAACCTCCTGCAAGCCAATAGCGTAAATGTCGGGCAAATCTTGTGTGTTCTGGTCATCGACACCTTGAAGACCCAAAAGTGAACGCAATGAGATATTGTCCGGAAAACGGGTGCCTACATTCCATGTCACCACATACACCGAATAAGTTTCAACATATAACTGCTGTTGTTGTGCAAGCTGTTCCAAGTCAGATCCCGCCTTGGAAATATTGCCTGCCGTAATAGAACTAGATTTCATCTTTCTACAAAAATATAACAATAATTAATTACAAATTAAACATAATTATTATGTGTTAATCTATATTTACTTGATTTGTTATAAAGATATCTCCTTGATATTAATAAATTGCGTCAGTACGACGATACACTTTGTCAACACTATATGAGAAGGGTGAGTAATTTTTCTAAATGGTATAAGCAAAAAACCAGAGTCGAATACTAACCATAGCCAGTAAAATTGTTTTTGTTTAAAGCACGGATGGAATGTATGAATGAACACAAACATACTATTATTTCCATTCAAGGCCTCAAATGTCACTATCAGCTGATATACGCCTATGTACATACCCAACAAGAGTTATACTGGAAAAATTGTCACGATAGCTTTCTTTAATATTCTTTATTTATATCATTTTAATTTATCTATAAAATAATAGTATTTCTTCAAACTACAATCTTAAATTCTAATAAAGCTGAAGTTCTTCTGTAATGCAAATCAAGATGTATGTACATATCTTAAATCGATTACAAAAACAAAATCGAGATTTTAATGTCGTACTAAATTTATTCATTCGTTAATTTTCTTACAACTAAATAAATCAGATATATAAACGATTTTCCAACCTAATAACATTCATTTTGTATTGATCTTTCTAGTGCAAAATTATATTCTTCGTTTTCGTCCACCGACATTTGACGAGTCAACAGAGCTAAAATGCTGTCAACTTGCAATTGTGTTACTTCAAAATCACTTTTTGTGCTAAGCTGTGGCGCTAACTCAAAGGGAACGCCTTGTACGTATGGTACTGGTGACACGTTGTCCGATGCACTGGCGACATTAGTCATAGGTGAATAAACCGGTTGTCCCGGAAACCTACCCATTCCAAATGCGGGAGGTATAGGCGGATACATTCCTATACCTTGTGCTGAAAACTTAGTAGGATCGTGGTCTGAAGTTTTTCGTTCTATGAAAATGAAGTCGTCTCCACCTTCATTCAACTGGGTAGAATCCGTAGGTCCTTGTATCGCTTCTTCTGCAGAATCTGTGTCTTGTTTTTTCTTGGAGAAGAACGAGAGCATATTTTTACCGTATTGTTATAATATTATTAATTTAGCGAATTCCGATCCAAGTTAATTGTGCGAAAATAAATTTATTTTACGTTTCAATTACTTCAATTGTTATTGTTCTACTTTTGTTGTTGACTCCAGCGCAGTGTTGCCAATGCAATATAATTATCGTTTCCTAAGTAAAAATCTTTGACATGTAATGGGTTTTATTTTACATTAAGGAACTTAGATGGCGAAATATGTTAACAATTACTTCTGTTAATCGCATTAAAATTAAATTAAGATTTATGATGTGTATATAAATGTATAATATTAGAAATTAGGCAGCAAATTGTACATTGACTTTAAAAACTTACATTGTAAAAAGGTACTCTCAAATGCAACCCTAAATATAATAGTGGAGAAATCACTGAACACCTTCCTCAGCATCGAATTGAACAAATGTCAAACATTTTAACTGCAGCTAAAAGTCCTTTGGAATAATTTATATATTGCTTTGGACTTAAAAGATCTTTTGTGAAATTTAATATACGATACCAAAGCAAACATGTCGAAAGTGGAAGTGGATCCCAATTTGCCCATAATGGAGGTATTTATAAAGTCACTTTTAACAGCAAACTTTGGTGAAAGTTTGTAGTATATCTCGATCCTCATGAAACATTGAAACATAAAACTTGTATAATCCACTTTAACCACATAAATTATGAATATTTTTACAAAATCCTTAACTTTTATATAATACTTGTATATAATTTTATTCACATAGCAAATTAAAATCCTCATTAAACCACCTCCCTCCGAAGAAGAAAAAATTACGCTGCGGCCAGTGAATACCAAACATCCGTACTATAAACGACCTGGTCGAGGCCACAATCATGATCTTTGTGATGCTTGTGAAGAAGGTGGGGACCTACTTTGTTGTGATCGTTGTCCATCCAGTTTCCATTTGCAGTGCCAGTAAGTACACGTGTTTATTTATGTATGCATAACTGAATAATACCAATTCGAACGATCATTTTAGCGACCCACCGCTAACAGAAGAAGATATTCCAAGTGGACAGTGGCTTTGTCATAACTGCCGTATGACCCTTAAACCTACATCATCTTCTAAATCAAGTTCTGTTGAGCGCGGTGCTGCCGGCGCAGTAACCGCGGCACGTACAGACAGCTCTCGCCCGAGTACGCCATCAGTTGATGCCGAAACGGCTCCATTTAAATTTCGTAATTTACGAAAACGCAGCAGTAGTCGCGCATCTTTTAGCAGCGATCTGAGCAATACTGAAAAATATTTGTCAAAATTGCCAGTGGGTATACAACGAGCATTGGATCCAAACAAAAAGCCCACACCCCTTGATGAGCTGATAAAAGCTGCTAGTATATTAAATCCGAAACAATTTGAGCTGCCACGTGAATTGGAAATACATTCTCAATTTCCTGGAAATGATAAAGGTTTGTATAGATACTTAATTTTCTGTCGCAAACACATTTAACGTAATACATTTTTATTTTAGTGGAACCTATTCGCAAGAATGGAAATGGAAATAAAAAACCAAGCAATATACGAAGAAATTCTAAACCATATGAGTTGGACTCCCAGGGTTTGGTGCCATTGCCAGCTAAGACATGTTTTTACTGTCGCAAGTCTTGTAAGAAAGCTCCGCTGGTAGCATGTGACTATTGTCCGTTATATTTTCATCAAGATTGCCTAAATCCACCCATGACTGCTTTACCAACTGGTTTATGGATGTGCCCGAACCATGTGGAAAACTTTATTGTAAGATAAATAATTTCGAAATTAGTTTTAGTGAAATGAGTTTAATATATTAAATATTTTATATTGTATATATTTTTTTGTAGGATAATCATCTTGTCAACAGCATTTCAGCAACAGAACGCATTCGCTTGTGGGATAAGTTTTCACAACCTTTTGATCATGAATCAGTAAAAATGGAATTTTTTAGACGCGTTCACATGCGTAATCCTCCCTTTCGCATCAAAGTGCCAATAAAAACACGTGAAATAATTGAAATTCCTTCAATGGTCAAGTATCACTACGAAAATCCGCCCCCTCTCTTGCCGTCATTACGTGAAACTTTACGCTACGATATAGTTAAACGACGCAAATGTCTTCCTAGTTCTCCTGAAATAATATCAAAAGAAACTGTAGCTGAATCAGTTTTTAAAGACTTGGAAGCTCTCCAGAGTGCCAAAGCTAAATTTCGTGAGATTCAAAAAGAGCTGGGTCAAGTAGATGACTTGAGTAGCAGCGAAGAGGAGGATAACAATATAACAGAAAACATCGAGGATAAGAATGACCTAGATGTAGAGACAAAAACAGATAATGATATTACAGACAAAGAGAAAGTCGAAGAGGACGATAAACTAAACAAGTTAAAAAGTAATAAGAAGCGTAGCAAACGTGGAGATTCTACCAAAAACTGTTCATCAGAAGTACAAATCAAAAGCGAAGAGGACGTAAAAATCGATGATAATACGGAAAAATTGGCTACAAACCAAGCTAAGCAACAACAAGTAGTGGCTAAAATCAAAAGTGAAGATGAAGAAGAAACTGACGATGAAACAAAATACATTGCTGATATTGATGCAGAACTTCGCTATCTAGATGTCGATTTAATAAAGAAGTTAGCATTTCAACGTGTGCAACAGTTGGTGCAGGAACACCCCGAAATTGTAGTGCAATATCAAAATCGTACTGCCGCCAAAAGAATACGTGAACTTTCACAAATCGATCCACCTCAAGTATTGCCATCACAAATTCTCTCGCCAGAAGATGTACGGCGCTTATCCATAATGTTTACTGGCGAGACGTCCTCCATATTGGCCCAACATCAAACTGATAGTGATAACGACTTGCCACAGTTACATCCGGCTTTAGCCACTGCTGCTGCTATTGTTGCTGCTGATGAGGAAGAGCTGAAATACAAGCCACGCATTCGCACCGATGGCGAAAAAGCTTACGAAATAGCAACACGGCTTGAGTTAAAATTATTGCGATGTAAAGTTCGTGCGCGCGCTGTACTAACACCGCTGGGCGACATTTTAGAAGACAATCGTTGGTTTAGTAATGTTGAGTTACATTCGTCGTTTTTTATGCGTTATCGCAATATGCATATTGGATCGGGCCAAACTTCTGTTGATGTAAATCTTTCCCAAATTGGACATTGTTGTCGGATTTCGCCCAAACATGCAACTATTTTTTACGACGATTTTACAAAAACATATGAACTCATCAACTACTCGGAATACGGCACCGAAGTTAATGGACAGTTGTATTCCTGCGATTTTACTGATTATGGACCAACGCCGACCAAAAAACTTAAAAATGAGGACATGGAGTTACAGAAACGTGTTCAAGAGATTTTAGATAAACGTCGTGGTATACAACGCCAACATTACATAGTAGACAGAAATTCAAGGTACACATGATCATGAGTTTAAAAATTTAATTATTATGTTGTCTGTTACAGAATGGCTCCGCCAATGAAACCCGAGTGTAAATGTACTTTCGTTCAAGAGCCGCCTATGCTTGCCGGTGCTTGGGAAGGTACAGCTATACTTACGCATGGCACTTTAATACGTTTCGGATGTTTGTCATTTGTTTTCTCAATACCTGAATTAGGATCGAGTAATGGTCAGGGCTAGGAACTCGTCGTTGATTTGACTAATTCGATTAGCTGCAATAAGTCTTACTTTTTAAAAATAGCTCTTAACATATTTTTTTTTTATTTAAAACATTCACTTAGAAAATAATGCAAAATGTTATGTTGCTTATGTACTTTTCAGTTGAAATTTGCACAAAAAACTCGTGATGCTTGATAAAAAAAAAGTTATTCGTTTTTTTATTATCTACATATTTATTTCTTAGTATGACACAAATTATTTTAAATAAAATAATACTCTACATAAAGGTTAGAAACGTATAACTGCTACGTTTTCGCATTACGTAGATGCAGTTAAGCGTTCTGAAAATTGTAATAATATATATTTTACGAATTATATATATGTTAAATAAAGTTTAACTTAGATGAATAAATTTACTGTTTTATTTAAGGGAGGAGTAGGGTTCATGCGTGTAAAACAAGGCGCACTTTTATGATTTTGTTTTGATGAAGTAGTAAAAAACTGTTTTTAAAATCCAATTCGTAGCACCAGAGAATGTTAATAAATAGAGAAGGCGCAAATGTTGCTGTGCTAAAATGTAAATTATTAGAAGGAAACAACGAAAATGCGCAAATTCGAAAATTCAATTACACCACGTCAAAAAGAAATCTTCCCCTCTTTATAAGCTAACTCAACAAACTACACCACTCTAAGCAGAAATCAAGTAGATTTTCACCACCATATAATGGAACGGCTAATATTATATAAATATGCGCAGATGTTCTTTGGTATTCGTATTAAGGACATTTTTATAATGAGGGAAACAACAAAATAAATTTAATAATTTACAAAAAAAGTAAATAATAGATAAGTTATTCAACATATTTTTGTGCGTTGCATAAACAATATCTAATATGCAAAGGATAACAATAATATAGTGGCTAAATGGCCGTTCTGACAAAACGTTAAAAAAAAACAAATGACAACTTTGCTGAGAAACTTAGGTACATAAGAGCTCGAATACATATTGACGAATTTGGCGCATCGTCGCGGAGTTGACAAACTTTGTTTGAATCGACACTTTTGCGACAATGTCCGTCGGCTATGTTGTCACGTTTGGCGTTTTTGCAGTGCTTTGCTATTGATAATTGATTTATGCTCTTTTGAAATACTACGATTACGATTGGGCTGCATTTTCATCGTGTCGTATTTAGATAAAATGGACTAAATCGAAAAACTATGAAATAATAATAAGTAAACTTATAAATTTAATGCCATATATAGTGCATAATATGAAATAAAATAAATTAATAGTTTAACTCGCTAATAGGCCATGTTGTCAATTCACCTTTCTGAAGGGAACATCAGACAAATTCTTTAGTTTCTGATTTTTAACATCGTTGTGGGGAAGCAACTTGTGGGCAACATGCAAATGCGAGGAGATGGATGGTAGGATTTTCAGTGGTACAAATTGTTAAATTGAAATTTTGGCTGATTCTTCAATTTTACTAAAATCATTCACTTCATTTTTTGCCATCCTCGCGCATTTGCGTTAGGAATTCCACTTGAAAACCAAATGTGGTTGACCAGGCGCACAGAAAAAAACGCAGTGCAGAGTTATAAATGATCGCCTTCGTTTATTTTAATTTTATTATATTTGTTCCCTCATTATATAAAAGTTCTTAAATTTCTATTATTTCTTGTTATTATTCTAATTTTCCTTAATACGCATGCCAAAGAACATTTGCGCATACATACATTTGCCGTTCCCTTAAAAGGTGGTGAAAATTTGCTTGGTTCCTTTTTAAAGTGGAGTAGCTTATCATGAGGGGAAGGTTCCTTTTTGACGTAGTGTAATTTAATTTTCGAATTTGCGCATTTTCGTTGTGCCCTTCTAATAATTTACATTTTAGCACAGCTAATATTTCTCTATTTATTAACATTCTCTGCCACGACAGTCGGTCTACGTAACTGGAGCGGACCTAGATTTTATCCGGCCAAGTACTGTCAAATCGGCAGAATTCTGTCGCTACAACAATATAAACTATCCTATCTTTTAATTTGGATAAACAAGTATCTGTAGCATGTTTATTTGCTTCAGCGTTTATATGCATTTAACAATTTTAAAATTTTTAATTCCTCCTACGTTAACATTGACATTTTTAATTTTCTCACAGACTATTATTTTTGACAGCAGTGTGTTTCATCGTCAATTTTCCTTATCAATCTTAACGAAATTTTAGTGAACAGCTGGTAATTTTTCCATAGCGCTGCCGCTATCAAGTTTGGATCAGAATTTAGAATTGAAGCAATATTCTTCATCAACATATCCAAGAAAGCAATACTAACAAAATCAAGTTTGCATATACATATATACATGCTAGACGTTTTAGATAGTTCTAGTGTTTACGTATTATTATTTTAATTTTATTGCGTATAAATTAATACTTCGTGATGAGCTTGTGAAATGAACGCATTGCGTAACCTCTTCAGCACGAGGACACTAAATAGTGTAAGGCAACATGGCCAAAATGTCCTCTTTAATATTGCACAACCAGTTGATGGTGCACCGGCGGTTGCACCAATACCCGACTTCGATGAAGGTATTGATAGAGGAGTACGTCAACCGCTGAAAATACCAAAATCCATTCTCGATGCAACTACTTTTATTGGTAAAAAGTTTGGTGAAACAACTGCCAACTCCTCTGGCTCGATTTCACCAGCTACGTTAAAACGTTTGCGTTGCATGGAGCGCAAGGTTGAGTTAGTTTATCGCTGTAAACTGTGCAACACACGTAACAGCAAACTGGTGTCTGAAGCTGCATACAGAAGCGGTGTGGTAATTCTCCAATGTGACGGTTGTTCTGTGAACCATTTAATAGCCGACCATTCTGGATGGTTTGCCAAAACCAAAGGCAAAAGTTTTGACCAAGTGCTAGCGGAACGAGGTGATCGCGTTAAGGTCGTCAAAGTAAATGAAAAAGGTGAATTTATTTAGCGGCAAGCAACAAGAAAGTAACTTACAATGAACTTTAATTTCATGTATTGCAATAAATTTTAAACACTGCTGAACAAAATATCATAAATAACAATTTTGTTATTAATTGAACAAAGTTTTTAAAACACAGTAGATAAAATAAAAGTCACATTTTCCTTTGCTTGTGGTACAATGCTTTAAATTGAATTGAGTATAAGAACAGTGCAACAACTTTGGGTTGCATCTTTATTTATGTATTTTGTGCAGTGAATTAACTTATTGGAATGTAATGTATTATAAATAGAAAAGTAATAAAAAAGAGCAATAAAAATATTAAAGCAAAACAGCGAAATATTAGCAATCAATAATTTATTTCATTTTAAAATACACGTGACTACAATTTTTTGTTGAATCATTTCCCATAATGTACATACATATGTATGTATATACTACAAACATATTATCTATACAAATTCTACTATCGAAATGTATATACGTACATACATACAGATGTATATGTATACCGAGAACAAATTTTAGCAACGGCATTGCCTATTAGAATAAATAATTTTTGTATTGGGATATGTGTATTATATGCATTAATTAATGAAGTATTTGCAAAAGCGATCTTCATACATTACAGCTAGAAATAAAATTGAACACTCTTATTTGGCATTATTTGCTATATTGAAGTGTTAACATGAGTATTTTATCACCATTCGGTAAGTCACTGGTTTAAAACTTAGCTGAGAAGTGATATAAGAAGTTTTCTCGAAGAGGGGTTGAATTTACATGTATTTCACAATCTGATATGAATTTCATAATAACTTATAAAAGTCTTTATAATGCTGCTGCTAAAATGCAGACGCTACTAAAAAGTAATTTTAGCACACTTTTGACGGAAATCTCACACTAAACATATTCATTTTCCGAAGGTTAAAAATATTTTATTACTGTTTTTAAACTCTTTAATATCAATATGATTTAATAATGATTCATTAAAGCTTTGGGAAATAAAATTAATTGTGATTATAATCTAATTGTGCTGATAACTGCATATGTACATATTTATGTATTCAAATGATAATCCAATAGCGTGGGTTGTTGTGGAGCGCGTATAAATGATTTGTGATAAGATAAAAGTTGGCCGTAGTTAGTCAGTGTTGTTGACGATCTATGTAGCTGTGATAATGTACCTGTTAATATTTACGAAAGTATGTTGTTCATGATTTCATTTGGCGTGAATAATTGTTGCATACTCATTAACCAATTGGTGAACATTAATAAAATAGTTCAAAGTTAACGAAATAATATTGCTACTACTTCAGAATCTACCAACAGTTATAGAAAAGAATGCAAATTTGAACAGATCTTAATGAACATACATATATAGATAATGAAAATACATATATAGTTCTACTAATATGCAGATCCGGACACGATAGTAAGTACTAAGAACGGCTCCCATTATCTTAAATATTCATCATTTCCGCTTACTCCCGTTAATACGGCTTGTATGTATGTTAGAAAATATCTAGAACGCTCACAATATACTATCCAGGTAATCATTGAAGCAACAACTTTTTGCAAATAATCAGATCAACTCAATCAGAATAAATACTTATATACATATGTATATCCAAACTCTACTACTCTTATCAAAACACTTCGGGCATCATTAAAATAATCCATAGGTGAATCTATGCTATTTAAAAGAAAGTCGTTTTAGTTTCACTATTTATAACTCAAAAACGGCTGAACCGATTTGGCTGAAAATTGGTGGTGACGTAGCTTAGAACCCGGGGACGGACATAGGATACCTTTAATCTTTTTATGTTAAAAGCACCATCCGACTTTTTTCTAATACTTAAATTTTTAAATTCGTGATATCTTTCGAATGGAATATCCGAATCGAATAATACAAAAAGTTGTATAAAGCTATCGAATCAGTCTTGAATATGAAGTAATTAGTTATGATAAGGATTAATAATAAGGTACAATACAATAAAGAGCTATTACAGAGGCGATATCTTAATTATTATTAATTTTTTTAATAAAAGAATTCTTATTGTGACGTAACAATAACAGTAAGACTTAACTGACCATTTCGGATTCCGAGTTAAGCGTCCCGGTCATTCGGTGTATTAAATAAAATTGTATTGCTCTCTCACCTATTATATATCGCGATTTTTAGTGAATTATATTGATTTTTAAAAATTGATTCGAATTGATTTTGCTGGTTCACCTAAAGGTTGTTTGTATCACCTAAAACTAATCGAGATAGATATTATATATAAATGATCAGGATGACGAGACTTGTTGAAATCCGGATGTATGTCTGTCCGTCCGTTCATCCGCCAGTCTGTCTGTGTAAGCTGTAACTTGAGTAAAAATTAAGATATCTTGATGAAACTTGATACACGTCTTCCTTGGTAAAAAAGGAAAAGACGAGTTCGTAATTAAGGAAGGCTTCCAGTGATTTGAAAATCTTGAATCTTGGGCGTGGCCACGCACCCTAATAAGTATATATCTCCGAAACCAAAAAAGCTATGTATATCACCCAAATTTGTAAACAACAAATATTTTCAACCCTTCTTACAATAGTGTGAAAAAAAGGTGAAATCGGATGATGAGCCCACCCACTTGCCATATATCGGGTTTGTTAAAAACGACTAAAAATGTGATAAATCAGTAACTAAATCCGTCAGTGACATTAAATTTTTTACCTAGGTTGGCACAAAGGACTTTATTGGAGCCGGTTTTTAGGTGAAATCGCATATCTCGGGACCTGCTCGACTGATTTCAACTAAATTCATTACAGAACATTTTACAATATTCCCATGTTACAGTGGGAAAATGGAGGAAATTCCATTTGATTATTTTACATTCCAGTTTTCAAATAAAGCGCCAATTAATATATGGGAATAAAACTTTGCACGAATAGTCCCTCTAAAGTATGTCACCTTATGACCAAAAATTGTCCAAATCGAACTAAAACTGTTCAAGCTCCTAGGTACCGAATATGTGGACCCCCAGTGCCTATAGTGGACTTTTTAGCGAAAATATCGGTCAATATGGGAGATAGTATGTCTGAGTGTCAAAAATGGGTTGAGTCGGGTCAATATTTCCTTTAGCCCCCATATACCTAATATAAAGATATTCGAACTTCCGCCATATATGTTGTTGACGGTATGTGAGGTACTTTAATCAAACTCAGTGAGCATTTTCTTATGAAATAGTATGTTGTATTGGCAAAAATAGACAAAATCGGGTCAATACTGCCCCTATCTATTAAACACCTAACATAAGATTTTCAACTTCCGGTTGGCCTTATACCATATATTATACATATATCAGTAAATATGTAAGATATCTTAACAAAATTAACTGATTAATATTGGATATACTATAGTTCAAAGTATAATATTGGATATACTATAGTTTAATGCTGAAAATATGTGAATTTAGTTTACGAATTATCCCAACTCTCAAATACTAATATGATTTTCGTTATTTTATCAAACTTTTTGCCGAACATGTCAATGTGTGAGTTATAAATTTATAAAATTTCTTGAAAATATGATCTCGAGTATACCTCAGCAATGTCAAAATTAACTCAATTAGCCCTTCCTTTTATTTGTCCCCAAAAGCCGACTTTCCACCTGACAAAATGTGTAATAATTTAATAAAATTGAATAAACAAGATTTCTTAAAAATTGTGTGGGAATATGAATGAAGTTTGTCTAGACATTGAACCAAACTTTATATCCCTAAAATAATGAATTGCGATCTTCTGGTTGTCGTTTTCTCATCAACTCATTATATTACATTCAATTTAGTTTCTTAAGTCGAGTTTATATCCCAAATATCTCATTTGAAGATGATTTTAATACAATTTTAGTTGACGGGAAGTAAAATAAAACTAAGTGAGTCTATAACCTATAATATAACTTAATAAAATAACCAATATGATTGTAATCTATTTATAATTTCAGCGGATAATGAATGTTGAATTGTTTCACAACACTTGAAGGTATTTTGCCTGCTTTGATTCTTGCACCTCAGTTACACCCATACTTAGCCCTTCCCTACTTGTTTGTAGCTAATTATATGTTCTGCAAAGTCGTAGTATATTATTTTGTTTTATAGTCAATAGTATTCGCAGGACACGTTATGTAAGTAATTGTTTACGTAATTTCTTTACACTTTGGGTTACATTATTGGCGTTTTAGTAAGGATCTCCAACTTTTTTGAAAATATTATATAATACAGAAAAAATTGTTAAAATCCGTCAAGTAGTTTCGGAGACAAACAAACAATCAAATCTTTCCTCTTCGTAATATTAATATAGACAGATAACAGAAAACCGCATTGGCAGGCGTTGCGTTTAATCAAAAAGATCACAAGAAATATTAGCACCACTTTGACCGAAAAGTTTAATGGAGGAATGGTTCGGTTGCCACATATTCCTACAGCTCCCCATTGCAGTTTGGGAAAACCATCGAATCTGTTTGAGCTCAACCAGGAATATTATTCAACTATAAATATAATTGTTAAAAATTAATTAATCTACCCTAACTACCTTATTAATTATCTCAATGTTATCAACTAACATTTTTGGATACTCATTTGTTACAAACTAAACAATCAAATTATTGATATAATTGTTTATTTATAACTTATAATAAAGATGTTGATCTTATGTAGATTTGTGCTTAATAGCCAATTCAAAGAAAATTTGTATGAATCATTCACAAATTTTGAATTCATGTTTAAATCCTGTATAATTTATACCGCCTGCAACGTTTTCGTCTTTATTTTAACATTTTACTGTATTGAATCGTTTATAATAATATAATTTAATATACATATGTATGTATACCTTAGCTAGAGCAACGCGTGGCCGAGATATTCTAGTAATCAATAAAAAGATCATAGTAAAATATTAAACAAATTATATGTGTGAATATTTGAATTTTAAGTAAATAAATTTTAGGGGTGCGAAATTTGGCAAAACAGTTTATATGTTATAAGAATTTTAGCTATTGTAAACGTTCATAATTTGCATAACAATCGATTAAAGTCTTGCTTGAGGCATTTTAACAATGCTACTCTACTAATGACACCAGGGTTTTGGGCTCTGTTTCGCATAAAAAATATTTAAAAGCAAAACCAATTAATGATTCATTATTAAATATATACGCGTATGTGTATTTGTTAAAAATTTACTTGACAACTGAAATATTGATTTATTAGTGACATTACCAGATTCGTTACTGTGACGTGGTAATCTCATCTTACCCTAGTCTAGCGCTTAAATCTTCAGCAACTGAGGGAAATAAATGAAAACCGAGCTGAATATATT